CTAAACATAACAATAACAATAACAACAACAATAATAATATCATGTCAAAATGTCCCATATTCTTCCTAGTTGAAAGAAGTTTGAGATATTAGCCTAAAGCTTACTAAAGCCTGGATTCTGATTACACCAGAGTCAGTCCCTGAATGGAAATATGTCATACTATATATAGGAGAAAAGGGCGAATCCTAGTAAAAAAAATAAAGATAAGTGGAAGAGAAGAAGTGCTTCAACAAAGAGCCTGCAGAATGTTGCCTTACTGGGGCAATATTTTCTCCAGCTGGTCAAGTCAGTGCTATGCCACGTGGTTATTCTTATACAATTCTTCCCAGACATTTTTAGGCAGCTGATGAAAGTTTTAAAGGTCAGTGGAGAGGATTTATTCTTCATAGTTCAAGAGCAAATGACTCAGACTTTTCTGGCAAAACAGAACAGCTTTTCTTTCCCCCAAAAAACTGTAGTTTCAGAGTTCCATCTCTTTCTTGCTATGTTGCATGTTGGAAGTATCAGACCTTCCTATTCCAAACAGATTACTTGTTCTTGGGGGTGGGGGACTCTTACCTTATCTTGGACAGTGTCTAACACAGAGGCAATTCCTTTCCATGCATCTAGTAGAAGGTCTTTATGTAACATGCATGCAAGGAGGAAAGTAACTCTTTTCCAATAAAAGGGAGTAGATGCTCCACATTGCTTCTGTACCAATTCTTGGTAGAAAACTAAAAGCATGGCAACATGAGATGTGGAACATCTGTTCATGTGGGTGAAAGTTTTATAAAACAATAGCAAAGCCTCCTTCCTCCTTCTAGTAAGGAAGAAGGGAAATGTATTTGGGTGTTGTGGAAAATCAGGGAGACAAGCATTTGTTCTTGCAAGAAGCAAGCATGCACTTAAGTAAAATCAGCTCAAGACATCTTGATAGCTGCAGGGCAATCAAAAAGACTGGGAATTCATACAATCATTGCACTGAAAGAGACCTTAGAGGTCTTCTAGTCCAACCTGTTTTTCTGAGCAGAAAAGTCCATATATTATCCTGGACAAATAGCTGTCCAATCTTACCTTGAAAATATCCAGTGATAGACATTCATGGCTTTAAGAAGCAGGCTATTATCACAAGAGATTTCAAGTCTGGAGCTTTCTTTGTTAACTTCCACCCACTGGTTATTGTCTTACCTGTGGAAGCTATAGAAGAACAAATCCACACCCTCTGCCTTCTGCCCTAAGATTTCCTTAGGCTAAACATACCAAATTCTTTTAACCGATCTTCATGGGATTTAGCTTTCAAATCCTTTACCACTCTTTTCTTAACAACTTCATTTCTCAGTATCTTTTTAAACTGGACACACTATTTCAGGTATTCATGGTGCACAGAGCAATGCTAAGACCTTCCATGTTCTTAACACTGTATATCTGTTGGTGTGCCCAAAGCTGCATTGGCTCTTACAATACCAATGGCACAATGCTTAATCTGTGGTCTACCAGGTCATCCAGATCCTTCTCGCTAATACTTCTGCTGAGCTACCTGCATTTAGCTTTTCCTACGTAAATGCAAAATTCTACATTTCTCACAACTGAAAAATATTTTGTTAAATAAATTATGATGTTCAAATCTATTAGAATCCTTTTGAAACTTAAGCTAGTCTTTTGAAGTGTTAGAAATCTTTACTAGCTTGCTGTCACCCACAAAATTTATGTGTCTCTTCTATCAACAGAGAATATTTGTAGCTCAGGGTTGAAATAAGGGGTTCTTGATGTTCTCTTTTGCTACATTACCCAGACTAGCTAAAATCATGAGTGTACTGATGATATTACCTAGTTTGGGTAATGAAATGTCTGCAAGAAAACAACCAAGTTCAGGAAGCACTAAGGACCACTCATTTCTTCTATTTCCATGTCTACATTGTTTATGAAGATGTTAAAAATTACTGGGTCAGGACAGAACCATGAGGTATCTCATTGCATATCTCCTTCCATGTTGACAAAAATCCATTGGGGATCACACAATGACAATCAGACATTACTGCAGTTTATCGAAAAGAAAGCAAAGGTCTATTTTGTAAAATGCTTTTCTGAAGTTTTAAGGGCACTACATCCACAACATTCTCCTGGTATACTAATCTAGTCATACTGTAAAGAAAGCAACAAAATTTGTCTGGCATCCTGTTTTTAACAAATCCATGCTGGCTTCTGCTAATCAATTTGCTCAGTTTTTTTTAATTATGTTTTTCAAAATACAAATTACACACAAAAAAAAGATATGGACATACAATCACAAAATCCACACAAAATTTAATGAGACATAGCAGAAGATCCACTGACTTTACCCTTTCTTGTTTAGATAACAGCAGCCCATAGAGGCAGAGAGAAAAACCATTTCCATCCCTGCAGTTTTTTCATCTCAGATGAGTACCATGATCTGCACAAGTGTCAGTGAAGAAAAAGACAGCCTGGTAGAATGGGGAGTGAATAAGCCTCACAGGCCATGGAAAACAAATGTGCAAAGGATCATTGCAACCCTTTCAAGAATTATCATAGGAGAGGGAAGAAAATCAATCTTGTGGCACTCAAAACTATTTGATAAGACCAGGGGTGGGATGCTACCGGTTCTGCCCAGCTCTATAGAACTGGTAGCTCTAAAGAGCAGCAGATACTAAACCAGTTCTGTGTTTGCTGCTGTTTGGCCCACCCGCTCACCCGGGCTCTTACCTGTCCTTTATTCCCTGCTTTTTCAACCTCAGCTGCTTTGTGCAGCACAGCTGAGGTTGAAAAAGCAGGAAAAAGTGGCTTTTCAAATGCTGTGTACCCGCGCACAGCACTTTACAGCTGTCTGGGTGGCACAGCTTAAGGTTTATAACATGCACACACAGTGCATGTCTGGCGCACATGCGCGCACAAAATGTAATCACAAAATGTAGTAACACCAGTTGAATACCACCCCTGGATAAGACCCAGCAGAATGAACTGTATATGTTTTCTTGATGTGTTTTGGAGAAGCATTTAGTGGTAGATGAAGAAATGCAGTTGAACTGATTTTAGCACGAATATGTAGAGACAAAAAAGCAAGAATGGGTTGAAAGAGAGAGGGCAAAGACTGAGATTCCAATTCTTCTGCCATGTTGATTTAATATTCAAGATGTCGGATCATCTTGACTTATGGCATAAAGTCTGCCAGAGTTGGCTCAGTTTTAACTAAGGCAGTTTGGGACATGAAGGTCTGAAGATGTGGCAACTACCACACAATGAGCCTGTATGAAAGCACGGGTCAATAATATCTTCTTGACAAGGTACTTGAATAGGTGATATGGAAAGAGTTATACCTACCTTATCTTATAAACCAATGAAACGGATTTCTCCTTACTTTACAAAAGTTGTAATAACAATGTATTGAAAGTGCTGAATGTGTTAACCACTAAAAGGGTAGAATGGGGGTTACGTCCATGGGGTAGATCAGAAATGGAGCTCAGAAGTCCAAACACAGTGGGTGCAAAAGCATTGTTAAGTTTCTGATCTTAGCATAGCACTCTAACCACTCTATGAAACATTAAAGTAAGATGACAGTAATTCCTCTAGAGCAGGGGTCCCCAACCACCGGTACCCGGACCGGTACCGGTCCGTGGATCATTTTTCACCGAGCCGCAAAGCTTGGGCACCGCCATCTTGTTTCGATGGCGCTTCCGGGTTTTTGGTTGCTTCCGGGTTTTCGGTTGGAAAGTGCTTCCGGGTTTTCAGTTGGAAAGCGGCGTTTGGGTGCTCGCGCCTTAGTTTCGTTGAAGGGGGGGGCGGCTTCGAACGAAGAGCCGTCCCGATGGCGGTGGTCTCACGTTACTCAGGTACCGGTCCGTGGAAGAATAAATAATTGTGAAACCGGTCCCTGGTTCAAAAAAGGTTGGGGGCCACTGCTCTAGAGAACAGAAACAAGGGCCAAGTTTTCCTGGAAGGCAGTGTACGTACTGCTCTAATCATCCTCAGTAGCATAGCCCCAGATGAAGGTTGTTGCTGTTGTTAGTTGCAAAGTCATGTCTGACCCATTGCGACCCCATGGACAATGTTCCTCCAGGCCTTCCTGTCCTCTACCATCTTCTGGAATCTATTTAAGCTCACGCCTACTGCTTCAGTAACTCCATCCAGCCACCTCATTCTCTGTCATCCCCTTCTTCTATTGCCCTCAATCATTCCCAGCATTAGGCTCTTCTCCAGTGAGTCCTTCCTTCTCATTAGGTAACCAAGGTATTTGAGTTCCAATTTCAGGATCTGGCTTTCTAAAGAGCAGTCAGGGTTCTTCTCCTCCAGGACTTACCAGTTTGATCGCCTTGCAGTCCAAGGGATTCGCAGGAGTCTTCTCCAGCACCATAGTTCAAAGGCCTCAATTCTTTGGCACTCAGCCTTTCTTATGGTCCAACCTTCATAGCCATACATTGCAACTGAGAAAACCATAGCCTTGTCTATAAACACTTTTGTTGGCAGGGTGATGTCTCTGCTTTTTAGTATGCTGTCTAGATTTGCCATAGCTTTCCTCCCCAGGAGCGTCTTAATTTCTTGGCTGCAGTCCCCATCTGCGGTGATCTTGGAGCCCAGGAAAATAAAATCTGTCACTACCTCCATTTCTTCCCCATCTATTTGCCAGGAATTGAGTGGGTCAGATGCCATGCACTTAAGTTTCCTTAATGTTGAGTTTCAAGCCAATTTTTGCACACTCCTTCTTCACAGACTCACAGATAAGGGTTATTTCTATGCAAAAGGATACACAATCCATTTAGATGGGAAACAATACCAGAGATATCTACCTGTAGTTTATGTAAACTAAGCACGTGCTTTAGGACTTCCAGTGCAACATTTTTTGCAATGCAAAGTGATTATTTAACATATAAGAGAAATCCGACTGCAGTTTTGGGAAGCTTTCCTACAAGTAATTTTAAAATCAGCCTTCGCAACATTTTAAAACATTAAAACCAGAGCCATGTTACTAGTTGTTTTTTTAATAAATTTATTCAAATTACTTATAATGAAAGGATAAAAGAAAAACATCCTTGAATCTTTAAAGCATCGTAAAGTCTAACTACTTTTAAGATACTAGATATTCAAAAATATTGTAATGACATCATTTATTTCAACATTGTGGTGAATTACCTTTTGAACAGGAAAATGAGCTCATAGTATCTACTGCATTTATTCAATCACAGAATCTAAAACTCCTAATGAAATCAGCAGGGTACCACCTTCATATTACTCCTTATTTTTCAGTGTTGCAGTATATGATAATAATGTTATCAAATTTTGAGGGGGTACTGCTTGTCAGAAGCAGATTCATAATTGCTCATGACAATTGGTCAACATTATTTAAATAAGGGCTGTGATACCCAGAGACAGAAGAAGCAGTGGAGATTGACAACATGGAATGTCACCAATAGTTGTCATGGACAAAAGAGAAGCAGAGGAAATTGAGTGATTGGCACAACAGTATTTTCATAATTTATTCTATAGCAAATGATGCTACTGATGGTCACAGACATTACACAAGGCTTCAGACAATGTACAGATCTAGATTTTCAGACTGTGAAGTTACATCTCATGACCAATACATATCAAACTAAATGTAGGAAATGTCTTTCACAGTCATGTTAATGACCAAACTTTCTACCACCAACAGACTTTCCATAATTTTCCATTCGCTTTCATGTAGCTAAGATCAGTCATTTTTTTTTTATGCCAATGCTCCTAATTGGCACAAATCTGCATAATTACAAAATATTGAGCATCGGGTGGCTAGGAAAGAATGATTTAAAAAGCATGCTTCAAAAGCAGGACAACTGCGTGCATTGATTTTTCTTGAAATGTTATTAATAATTGCATTAGTAGTTTTGCCATGCCAGGTCTCTTCCAATTCTATGGTGCATAAGCCCTTTTAAAACATTTGGTCTGAAGAGATCAAGACAAGAAGGGTCAGGATCCTAAATACAGTAGACCTCTTCCAGATCTCTCCCCTCCCCCCTTGTGGTTTTGGGTGTTGATTAGAAAACCTGAAAAGGAGCAACCAGTCATTTGAACATTAGGAAATCAGTGGGCTCCTCCATGAGAATAGGGAGTTTCCACAAAGATTTAAAAAAATGGGAATGAGAAAGCAGGAATGGTAATATTGGGGACAATGCATACTCCTGTTTCACACTGCTTTATTTGTTACACATAACTCCTGAATAAGGGTAAAATGGCCTCTTTGGTGGATGAGTGTGCACCCAATCTCCATCTTCTTACCAAAAGGGATAAGGACATTCCCAGTTGGATTCATAATTATGTTTCAAAAGGCAATGCAAGAGCTTACCATTCTATTTTCTGCTTTCTTCCCATGTCCCAAAGTAAGTAAATAAGTCATGGGGCAGTGGAAGAAAAAGATGGTGGCATACTTCAGTCTTCAAAAGGCTGAAATAAAGAAGCCTTCAGCCTTGCATATGAATTCTTATCCGGAGGCTTGCACCCTAGTACCTAAGGATTCTAAGATAAAGGATCTAGCAACGTTACATAATCCTAGATGTCGATATGATTCACTGAGCTGAAATTATGGATTGTCAGTGAGCATTAACTTCATGGCAGAAATCACAACCAGCTCATTTATAGAAGTTTTGGGATTCCCAAAGGCTTCTTAAGGTGCTTATATATATTTTAAAATTCTCTGCATCTACTCCAGCAGCATCTTCCTCATAACCTGTGACTTCTCAGGTCAGAGGGGCAGGCTCACATTTGTGCCTTCCAGATGAGCCACTTGATTATCTGAAGACAGACGTTCCTCTGTTGTTGTTTTTAAACCAAGAAATTAGTCCCGTATCATGTCTGACATGCTCAGATTCAATAGCAAGTACGTTCCTCACTTGCATGGTTCATCTTATTCTGGCACTGTTCACTCAGCATCAGGCTGGTGGCACAATGAGTGATGGAATGATTCCTTTTTGTCTTAGCTGCTGCAACTGTCTCCTGAATCACAGTAGATGTCCATCACTGTAGGTAAGACTGTTGACAGTAGAAAGCAAACTGTCAGTTTAATAGGAAACTTTCTCAATGCCTTATCGAGAGACCAAGTTCTTAAGTATCATAGCAAAAACAGAGGAGAAAAACAAAAGCTGTTTCTAACCATTGTTGTGATACCTATTTGGCTAGCTTCACCAGGCATTATGTCACTTTGCAGCAGAGTTGCCTCACCAAAGAAAGTAGAGGTCTTCATTCAGTTGCAGCTAGAAATTGCCTTTGGTCCACCAGCAGGTGAAGTCACTGCTATAAATTCCTCCACTCTCTCCACGTTGAGCTGAGAGTCGGATTTCTTAGACCCATTCACCAGAATCTGGCTGGTTGGAGCTGACCCTTGTTGAAAAGCTGGAAAGGGGGAGGTTGGAGAATCAACAGTTAGACTGGAGTTAAGTCATACAAGAGACCATACATACTCCCTAACTGTACTGCAAGAAAGAAATCGTGCCGGTCTAAAATGTGCCATTCTCACAGACTTGTGGCAACAGAAAGTACTATAAAACACTTCATACACAGAAAAATGCTATAGAAATGAACATAAAATAAACCAAAACATTATTGACATAAAAATAATGATTTTAAAACAATACCTTTCCCTAACTGTATACTGTATTTCCCCAACTGCAATTCCACCACACAACAATGTATCAAGTATTACCAAGTACACCTTATTTTTTTTCTAAAAAATGTATTTGCTGAATTGGTTCTACATAACTCCAGAAAAAGTATTATTTCGTGTGGCAGATGGCTAGGCAAAGGCATAGAAATTACTAATATGCCCATTTAAATTAAATTAAAGTCTTCCCTCCTGATTCTGGTGAGGTTCATATAAAAGAAAGGAAGACCTTGCAGAGCGTTACCTGTTTTGATCAGAAAGAGGTGAGGGGATAAGGTTTTTTTTCTGAACTATTTCCCTTTCTCCCCTTTAGAAGAAAGCACATCTATTAAATACAGTCGAAGAACAATATGGCAGAAGTGGATCATATCCGGTTTAGTCCTCCTGATCAGTCAGACTATCAAATTATATCTGAGTAGAAACAGTCTGTGCACAGTATTTGCCATTCTAGTCTAAAGGTAAAATAATCCAAGCACATGCAGTTGCTAACTCAACCTTTGTTCTTAAATATTTAAACAAAAATGAGCTTAAACATTACTACAAGCACAAGATGGGTAGAGTTGTCATTAATGGAAAATTCTCTGTAAGAAGTGTTGTGATTCCGGCATCTGCTACAGGTTTTTTGAATGACAGCTC